GGGGGGGGGGGGGGTCAGGAAAACAAACACTGAGGACTAGAAGCTCTAGCTTTGAGCTGCGGGACTTGTCTCCTGTGGAGGAACTGACTGGACTTTTGGCAGCTTTCAGTCATCTTCCTTCCTTCCTTAATCCTTCCTTCCTTCCTCTTTCCTTCCTTCCTTCCCTCCCCCTCCCTCCCTCCTTCCTTCCTTTAACTTCCTCTCTTCTTTCTTCCCCTCCCTCTTTCCTCCCTTCTTCCCTCCCACCCTCCCTCTTTCTTTCCTTCACTTCCTCCCTCCCACTTTCCTTCTTTCTTCCTTCCTTTCACTTCCTTCTTTTCTTCCCTCCCTCTTTCCTTCCTTCCATCCTTCCTTAATCCTTTCTTCCTCCATCTCCTTCCTTAACTTCTTTCCTCCCTCCTTCCTTCCCTCCCCTCCCCTCTCCCTCCTTCCTTCCTTCCTTCTTTGTGCTTCCTCCCTCTCTCCTTCCTTCCTTCTACCCTCCCTCCCCTCTTTCTCCCTTTTGCACCTTCATCTCTCCTCTCCTGTCCCTCCCTCCTTCCTTCCTTTTTCTATCCCTCTTTCCTTCCTTCTTCTAACTTCCTCTTTTCTTTCCTTCTCCCGTCCCTCTTCCTTCCTTCCCTCCTTCCTTCTTTACTCCTTTTTTCCTCTCTCCATCTCTTTTCTTCTTCCTTTCCTCCCTCCCACCTTTTTCCTTCCTTTCTTCCTTAACTTCTTCCTTCCTTCTGCCCTCCCTCTCTCCCCCTTCCTTTCTTCTTCCCTCCTTTCTTCTTTGTGCTTCCTCTCACCCTTCTTTCTACCTTCTTTCTTTGTGCTTCCTCCTATCTCCTTCCTTCTTCTCTCCCTCCCCTCTTTCTTCTCTTCCCTTTTCCACCTTCATCTCTCCTCTCCTGTTCCTCCCTCCCTCCTTCCATCTTCCCTCTTTCCAAACCCCTCCCCTCCTCCTTCCTTCCTTCCTTCCTTTTTCCCACCCCCCTCTCTCCTCTTCCCTCTCCCTCCCCCTAGTCCTCTCCGGTGTCTTCACTGACGTGGAAGCCTCCCTGAAAGAGATCAAGGACTTGCTGGAGGAAGACGAGGCCGAGGAGCAAAAGCTTCAGGAGACCCTGGGCAAGAGCCCACCGCCGCCCCAGGACCCTCCGGTCCCCTCCACCGGCGGGGTGGCCGAAGTGGCCAAGGAGTGGGCAAAGTACTTGGAGGTCCACCAGAAGGCCAGCTTCACCAACACCGAGCTCCATAAAGCCATGAACCTTCACATTACCAACCTCCGGCTCCTCAGCGGGCCCTTGGAGGGGGTCAAGGCTGCCCTGCCTGCCCCCAGCCTCTCGGAGGGTAAGGCTCCGCCCACCTGGCTTCTGCGGGGGGGGGGCGGGGGGGAGGCTAGAGCCTCCATCCCATCAGACCTGGGAGGAAGAGGTGGCGATTCTGCCTGGTTTCTCCCCCCCTCCCCCCCCGCCTCTTGAACGGTTCTGCATCCGAGCTGGACCTCAAATTGTGGATTGTGGGTAAAATATGGTATGGGTAACTCTAGAAGGTGGTGAGGGTTAAGGATTGAGGGTTAGGATTAGTGGTGAGGATGAGGGTTAAGGAGTAAGGATTGTTAGGATGAGTCAGGTTAATGGTGAGGAGCAGCGGTGGTATGCTACGGGTTTGGACCAATTCGCCTAAACCAGTCGCAAAATTTGCTGCCGGTTTGGCTAAACCGGTAGTAAGAAAAAAAAAAACCCTCCCACGATCAGCTGATAGGAGGGGAAAAAGCATCAGCTGGGAGGAGAAAGAAGAGAAAAAGGGCAGGATCGGCACTCCCGCCTGCCCCTGCGCTTTTCTCTTTATCCTCTCAGCCGATTGACGACGCAGGCCTCTCAGCTAGTGTGGGGAAAGCGGTCCACATGCGGTTAGGTGCGCGTGTGTTAGATGTGTGTGCAATCATCAAACCGATGGTGGAACAGGTAGGATTCCACTGCTGGTGAGGGGTAGGGAATTAGGTTGAGGGATTTGGTTGAAGGATTACGGGTGAGGATTAGAATGGAGGATTACGGTTAAGGGGGAGGGGGAGGGATTCACATTAAAGGTGAGGGTTAAGGATTAGGATGAAGGGTGAGGGCCAGCCAGATAGATGAGACTGGATGGATGGATGGATAGAAATATGGATGATAAACAGATATAGATAGACAGACAGAGAGGCAGAGATAGAGATGGATGGATGGATAGATAGATAGATAGGCAATCA